CACAGGAACTGCCAAAAAGTACACTTGCATACGGTAAATAGTTTACTGTTGGTTTTATGGGATCGCCGAAGTGATTTATATCGAGTCTTTAGCGTGTACCCTGATGAATTTGTAGTGTTTCCTAAGACCGTACTGGGTATCACCTCGGGTTCGGTGTTACGAAAGCGTTTTTCCACCTGACTTTCAACAGCAAATGATATAATTGGCACATGAAGATATATATAACTGACAGATTCATTACAGGGTTTTGTCCAGTGTAGACGAAATCAGAGCCCACGATCTAGGGCAACATACCCAGACGCCGTAAGATCTATAACACTACAGGGACCAATTTTGAAGACCATTAGCAATGGAATGCATGACGATGATAACGATGACGATATTCGCGCTGGCCAAAAATAATACGCGGTAAGTTGGAAATTAGGGAGAGAAACGGTAACTTTTAGGATCATGTAGATAAAGGGACCCCATCAAAGCGTGCATTATTTATTGTTGTGCGGTAAAAAAAAAAGATGCAATTCTCGCAAGGCAAAAAGCCTATAGCGTTCGGTATAATGCTTAAAATGTACCTAATAACATATTAAAATATTACCATCATTAACATTATCTTACGACACAAACGTAATCAGTATACATGACAGCATTTGCCACACCCTACGCTTTGTTCGTTGACAACTGCAAAATGGTAAATAATACGGCTATAGAAAATTCTGGTAATGAGCCTAGTACGGCCGAATGCTTTTCAAAGAAACAAATACATTTGACAGGACAAATTCTGTAATCACGTACTGACTACATAGACATCCCTCAACTAAGGAGTATTCAATACACCATCAAAGCTACCTGAAACGTACAATTTCTCTACTGGGGGTGTGAAAGTGTAACGGGACAGTGGTTTATGTTAGGACAAAAGGACTCATATCCGCCAGTTCGACCATTTTTCTATGAAGCATAAATCTATGTGGTAATTTTTTTCGATTGTGAATCAACAGGTATTTAACTTAACCTAAAAATGCCTTTCAGGCATTTTTAGGTTAAGTTAAGTTGAGTGAATCGCACACTTCAACGTTCTTTGGTAACGATATAGATAAAGATATGAACTTGACTCTTTGTCTATAAGAAGCCCAAAACTGGTCTGCGCTTGGTACATTTATGGCCAACTTTTAGCGTGGCTATGCTGCCGACTTTCCGAGGCTCATTAGCATATTTTCAACATTATCTAAACTGAATCAACATTACCACCGTAAGATGTCTAGGGTGGAAGGCATGTATTGCCAACGTTTACTCTTCTTAGTCAACCCTTAAGTACATTTTCTGTTATTGTAAAGAAAGAAAAAAATAGGCAGTATCTGTTTAACAAAGCCTAAACGTTATGTTAAGATTTCTAAGCTCCTTTTAAACTCTATTTCAGAGGAACTTCTAATACCAATTCGTTTCGTTTAGCCGGCGCTAACGTGATTATCTACGTAGCACCCCCTGAGCTGTCTTCAGTTTTGTGCTTGATTGAACGTCTGGCACATGAGACAATTGAATGTCGTTCAGTATAAAAATATTCTTTTACAAATATGGTGATCAGCTGAAAGTCTTCCGAAGACTTGTCTAGGCCTGAAGCCATGTGCTTTAGAGGATAGCGACAGACATGCATTTGTCGTGACTCCACTTATCAGTGAATACGAATGCGTGAAAGAAGGTGAACAGGACCTCCGTGAAAGCTGCTTGGAAATTTACGCTAAAATACGATTCCAGCATAAACCTATTCATACGTTGCTTCGATATTTGTATTTGATCACAAGCGAACTGTAGATAAGGTTAGGATATTTTCGAAATATAAGGACATGTTTATTTGTAACTTTGCGTAACCTCCAGTATATAAAAAGTTGGTTTCTAATAGAAACAATACAACTAGACCTATTAAATGAAATGAATTAGAAATATAAATAAAACTATTCCAGTAGGAGCTTGGGCGTTGATTCATCGTTAAACGCCGATGTTAAATTTGGGCGTCGTGATATATATCACTGCCGGCTCTGCTCGAACAATGAGGCCGTATTTCCATATAGGAGACTACTCCTTTATTAAGTGCTTGTTTGAATCTAGTTGATTGAAAATAGCTATTAGTAATAATCGTAATACCGATTTATCCTGCATGATTTTTTAAGTTTAAATTAAGATTTCTTAAACAAATGATCATATCCTAGGCCTAGAAATATTTGCATAAAGATAAAGCTCTGCCGTTCTGTCCGGAAATAGCTGGACGCGTATGTGACTTTAGCGAACGACTCAGTATACTTCTTTACCTAGAATAACTTAGCAGGGATCAAAAAGTAGACAATTTATTAGCTAAGTTATCTGCTGGCGTTTCGGTAGGTGCTTGAAATAACCATCGTTAACCATAACACGGGTATAAGGGTGAGATTTTATATAAAATCTTTGATGCTTGACACACAACTATCATGTGTTTTTATTTGGGTGATTTTGCAGAAGAAGTGGCTGAATGAACAGCTTGTTCTGTGTGTGCGCGTATCTTAAAATTTTCAGTCAGAACTTTAACTTGCACACAATTATACTTGCCTTTTTCTAGATAAACATCGGCGTTGAATTGTAACATTAACTTTAGTGTTCCGCTCTTTTATTGGCAGAATGTTTCTTTTTCTTTTTCTTGCTCAAAATAACCTAAGATTTCGAAACGCAAAGAAATGAATAGACAGAAGTTAGAGAGCAAATCTGAAACATTACACTTCACAAGACGATGTTTGCCAGCTAGAAATGAACTTCATTTTGAAGGCAACACGCACCTATATGTACAGGTATACGTGTGTGTTGTCTTGCAAAGTTGAACATCCAAGAAAAGAAGGAAAAGGGAAAAAAGGCGGGTGGGAAGGATGATCTAAGTTTGAACTTCGGAGAGTTTACTGCAAATTGAAATGACAGTCACAGTAGCGTTTCCCTATTAGCCTAGCGTTTTATGAGAATAGGTAATAACATGCCTACGAAATCAGCATTGTTGTATCGTCGAGATTACATACACTCAGATACAGCGGCAGCCGCGCCTACGGCGAGCATATCCCGAAGGTCTAGAAACAGAAAGTGAGGGGAATAACCGGGTCAGAGTTAACGGTAGTTCTAACGTGTAACTGAAACCAAACGCTACGTGGCGCGGCGTGCCTTATTCGTGAACCAACGAGAGAGTAATAATGATATCGTAGTTTTTGAAAAAAAACCTTGGCCTCAATGCACAGTTACCTACCAAGTCACCGAACAAGATTCAACCACACATAGCTAATCTTCATCGAGTCGTCGGCACTAATCTGGCGACTGGGGTTCCACATTGCCATTAACATAGATCAACGTTTCTATCATCGCAATACCTTTTTCGCCCTGGACCTTGTCAACATCCTGGAGTCACCTTAGGGCCCACTTGTTTGTAGTATTAGAATCGTTAGTACCGTGGGTACTGATGACCAAGGCTGACCGTTTTCTGTCTCAGTGATTCAGCCCATCGATCTGATCGAAAAGATAAAGCTGTCAACTGCTACATGGGAAACCAACATAAAGCCACAAGATAAATTCTTCTGACCATTAGATGCAGCAACAGGTTGCAGGGCTAGCTAATTTTACGGAATCGGTCGAATAAAGGGGGAAAATCAAAATTAAAAAATATAGCTAGACTTAAGGAAAAACGCATACTGATTTCTGCAAGCGGTCTAATTTAGTGGTGGATTTCGTCAGATCAGTCAGTCTGCTGCAATCGGACCACCGAAGTCCCACAGCTGAGTAGCACTAGAAATAAAAATATATAATAATTAATTTTATTAACGAATCATTAAGTAAAGTAGAAAACTACAAAAAGATCAATTGTTCATATAACTAAGACATAACATTAGAATGTGTTTAATAGCCAATAAAGAAATGACAGAAAATATGATCGGCCTCGCAACAGTGATTGATCTTTGCGTTCAAGCGTCGCCCGACTGGACGAGACAGACAGCTTAAGGTGCTTCTTAATAGAATATCAGACAGGTACTTACCGGAACAGATAATCCGTGTGTAAACCTTGGCTCTAGCTAAGGGCAAATTTATCTAGTTACGTCTTAAAGAAATTCTGTCGAGTAAGTGTTCGCAAAAGGCTACCCATTTTCCACATAAGAAGAGCAGCGCATAGATCACACGCGATCTCGGAGGCTGAAACCGTATCAGCAGAGCAAATATAGTTGTTCAGTATCTTACTTACTTACAGTAAGTTACTTAGTATATTAGTCAGTGACACGTTTTCATAAGACGATAGACGTTGTTTCAATGCAATTCAATCGACAGCGTTGAATATAAAATATACTTCAAACTCGTTACGCCATGTTCCAACCGTTGGAAGAATCTCCATCTTCATTTATTACGACGGATAGGATAGACTTTTGCATAAAGAGTGTGTTTGGCGCATAAACGACCTCCAAGTATAAGTATCTGAAAATAGATACTTCGTTCAGCATTGATATTGATAGCTCTATATATGCATTTAGCCAGTCTGCCTTATTAAACCTGGAATAGGACACATAATAAAATATAGAATTTACTCCTTTTTGAGTATAAACACTACAGACAAATATTGTAACCCAAGCATACTACATTACAGGGAACGAAACAGAAAACTATTGCGTAATAGTAATAGTTCAACTCTCGTTCATATCAAAGTATTTTTTGTTTACATATTCTACAGACTTCAGATGAACGCACAAAACGCGTTTGTACTATGTTTTCGGCCTTAAAGATGAGTGATTTCAGGCTACACTGTACTTACTACGTTCTTACCATTCTAGCCCTTTTTGAGAACGTAATGGAAGATTACGCACAATCGTGCCCAAAGGAGTAATGTCTACCTAGCGTGACCCGATTAGTGTACATACGACCAATAACGGGCGGCCTTTTTTTCGCCGAGACTACAGCCCACAAGTTCTCAGTTCCTCTAATATACTTTACTCCTATAATTGACTAATAGTACCACAAACTACTAGTGGAGTACATTTATTGAGAAAATAATCGGTTCACATAACTATTTAAGAGTACTGGATCACCCGATCCTTCACGGCTCTCGCAATGCGGAACTTTTTTGCGCGGGTTGTCGATTGTACTAATTCACTTCTGCTCAGCACAGCTGAAGCATAACTGCACGACCCAATGGTCACATTATATCCACAGGCAATTTAGACAATGGGCATGGAAGCCATCGTTGCGATACCGCATTGGTTGTTCTTGTTACGGGACATCATGATATAACCGTAAATGCCCCAGTCTTTTCCCCACGAGTTCTTAACCAACCAAAAATCCTTGCTCTGAAACTGCCTCCCATAGCCAACAACAAGAACGCCATGATCGAGCTCGGTGGAACTGCACCAGGGAACGTTATACACACCGCCGCGGTAAAATTGAAATAGCTTCGAAGATGCATCGATCGCAACGGAGACTGGTCCCTTCGTACCCACGACTTGACGAAGCGCTTCCTCATCGCCAGGTTGCACATTAAAGTAAGCTTTAATGGTAGCACCAATCTGCAGGGCGCAAAAATAGAACACAGAATTAAAACAAACACAAACATCCGTATTGGATACAGTTATTAATAGTGTGGATGTAATAACTAACATTTTTTTAGCGAGTCCTATTTCAACCATATAGCCTGGCTCTTTGGTCACTGTGAGCTTCGAAATTGTATAAAAACGTTAATAGTAAGCTATTTTAACTGCCATTTTTCTAAATTTTCAGTAAAATTGTTTGGACTAATTAAGAAATGCGTTATGAGCTTCAGACACATGTAAATTCACGATTTCACGGTTTTCACCTACCGATTTGGCATCGTAATGGCATATGCCTTGCCTAGAAATGTACGGATAAGCGGCCTCTGTATCGATACCTTTATTCTCCTTAACGTACTGAAATGCCTTATCCATCCAGCCACCATTGCACCCATTGTTACCTTCCGGCGTTGAACAATCGACCAAGTTCTGCTCAGACAGAGATACTAACTTTCCAGTGGACCTTCGATTTCGACCGTGGATGGATTTAATACAAATAGAGTCAGGATAGGTAAAAATACATAAGATAATTCTCAACCCTTACAAATATACTTCGATGTTTATCGACTTAATGACTGTAAGCTTATTTACTCTCGATCCGTGCAAATGTACACTGCATGACGTATGCAAAATGGTAGAATATATTGAATGAAAGCGTTTATGTCTTGCACCATCTATACCTAAAAGAGTTTGATTTAAACAAATCTTCAGCACTGACCTAAAGTGCTGTCCCTCCAGCGAACCAACAGCTGAGAAGGCCCAGCATGAGCCACATTGGCCTTGGTCCTTGACATCCGTCACGTATCCCTTGTCGCGCCAATCGATCTTGTCCGGCACCTCCTTGCCGCCGCCGCCGCCGCTCCTGATAAACGTGTAATCCGCTTTCGACTGCGCTCCCTCGGGTACGCGGTACCCGAGATAGATCCTTTTGTACTCCTTGTTTGTCTGTCATAGCCCAAGGAATTTTTGTTGTCATGAGAGCTGAACAAGTTGTGAGACCTTTATGACATACAACCGAGCATTAATGTGGAATATCTTAAGAGTGTCGGGAAAAAAAAACCTTTCTGGCTTCAGTCAAGGATGAGTTACCAATAAAAGCAATTGAGCAAGAAGCAAGAGAAGATAATTGCTTCTACGAAAAAAACTGTATGGGTCTCCTAATCGAGCTGATACGATCTACTATCCAATTTGGCAGCTGAAGGCACAGCCGTCTGATCTTTACCAGATCGCCGAACTGATTCATGCCGAGCGTGAAGTTGAAGTGCTTTGGGTCAGCGTTGTGCATCGCAATAAATCTGTAACTTTGTTCGAAGATCATTCTCCGCATAAGCTCATCGTGAACATTGGCGTAACTCCTGTTGTACTTGACCTACGATAATAGATAACATACGAATGGAATTTTTAATACATAGTACATTATCTCATATCTGTCATTGTAATGTTGTTTATTGTAGTTTTTTTTTTGAGTACTTTGCCAATGAAAGTGATTTAGTATTTTTTTAGAACTTGTGTAGAGGTAAAATGCTAATTATATAATAGAGATAACGTCAAACGAGATAGCAGCCACGTATGTCCTAATCATTATTACTACACAATGAGGATAACATTGAACAACGGGCAGCTATTTATTCTTTAATCTCTGCAGCCTAATACCTTCTCCACAATATCGTTCGTTCCACAAGCCTTGTCGTGCAGCAGGACGCATTGAAAACATAACACAATTTTCACACTTATGACATGTCAGAGCGGACGATGCTGGTGACTGCCCCAATGTTCCCTAGCGATGAAGAGGTGCCATTTCTAAACGTGGAAAATCAGCACACTTATTGCTGTCGGTTTACCGTGCTCCTTAAGGGGTCGCCTCGGGTCGCAGGGCAAGCTCGGCCCCAGTGACCGTTGGTGGGCAAAGGCAGACGATAATAGTCAACACCGCTAATTTTTCGGAATGAGGAAAAACTAATGACAGCCGAGAGCGACATCGGACGCGAGGCAAAAATCTAGTAAATAATCGAAACTACAGAGTAATTGATATGGCTGTCTTTACGGTGAAAATCTAAATTGTGGATTTATTACCTGCAACGTGTGTGCGGCAAGAATTTAAGACCTTAGATCTTAGGTTCTCCCTATAGGACACTTCCAAAAAAAGAAGGTTCTCTATGACATACCGCTATAATTAGAAAATAAGGTAAATTGCTTTGCAGATGCTTTCTTTTCTGTAACTCAGTTCCATGGCGCGATTTGGAATGAATAAGGCCTGACTAGAATGTGCAATCGTCCTTCTTTCTTCATTTAGACACGCACGTTTTCTGTATCCCATGTTCCTTGAAATGCACACTGTATGTGCAGTGTGCATGTAGCAGCCGGTTGGTAATAATCAACGGCCAACTATTCACTCTACACAATTTTCTATTACTTTTATTGATCTTACATATTCATTTGAATCAGAAAGGTTCCGGAACTGAAAAAATATCAAACAGTTTAGCTTAATCATAGCTGAGTCGAACGCTATACGCTCATACCCAAGTTACCAGTTCCAACTACAGTTGACAGGAGCTAGAATTAAGTTAATCAATGTTTCATTGCAATCTCATAGCCGTATATAAAATAATTGTTAATATGTAAAGTGTCTATATATAAGTTATGGAAAGATCTATTTTTATGGATCGACGCGTCTCATTCATTATCACCGAACGAAAGCTGATTCGGCCTTGCAGCGCGCTGTCTAACAAGATCTCAATGGATGCACTGTTGTTAGTCTTGATAAATTAACCATTAGATATGGAGTTTAGGCCAGGCAAAGTCATGGTATTTGTTATGACACAACGATATACTTTAATAGATGGCGTAATATAATTCATATTATAATAGTTTATACAAAGCACGTATTGATACCATGTCTGTAAATAATCGTTTTATCATGACATATCGTCCTGAGACGTGTTATGATAAAACGATCATGTCGGGCTGGAAAGCTCAGCAAGTTTTCGATGTGAAGATACAAGTTGGAAGGTTTTAAATCGCGCACCGACTTCGTGAAGGGCTGTTGAACGTGTTTCTATTTCGGCCTGTTGCAGATCGAAAAAAACTCTTCGTTTAATTGGTCAGTGTAGACGATTGTTAGTCCGGCTATGACACGAAGGTGTATTACGGATATGCCAAAAGCTAAATTTAAGAAAAGAGTTTTTCAAAGGGCGACTTCAGATACAATTATCGCCGGCAGGTAACTTCATTGCCAGCCGAGCAGCCGGAAACGATTATATCGAAGATCTAGAATTGACCTAGACATTCGTCAAGTAGTTAATTTTCGATGTAGGGATTGATCTACTAATATTGTCTACGTACATAATTTAAAACCAACGAATACCCTTCAAGTCTGTTTTGTTCTATTTTGAGCTCCATACAAACGAACTTGAACAGATCAGATCAGATCAGATCAGATCAGATGTTTTCGAACTAACCTAGTGTGTAGGTCTAAGGTTTATTCGAGTGGTATTTAGGCTCCACAACCCTTTCAGTTTCGATGTACTTTGGTAATTATTAAAAAAAACGTAATAGCACAATATTTTATAAATGGATGCGCACCTTGAAGTCTTCCCAAGGTTTATCTAAACGCGGATCTGGCTGTCTTATCGCTATAGCCAATGCAGCAACGCAGAGGACCAGCAAATATACCTTCATCCCGGCTTGACCTGTTGTTAAACAGAAGGCAATTTCGGAATGCTCCTTATATTAGTTTAAACTATATTTTTTGATGGGTCTAGCAATGACTAGTTGGTGGATATGGATCTAGTTTCTTGTAATCTGACCTCAGTCTTCAACAACTCTTTTAAGATAATATTGTTTCACTTACGTTGTTCAGTAGTCCGACATTAAAGTTTGATGTATTCGAAGGATCTAGCTCTTTCGACACACACTGAGTATCTGTGTAATGTATATACTTATGGAGCTATAGTCGCGCGACGAATGGTTCCAGGTCGCGCTTCAGGTCAACAAGCTGTTTCCTAAACGAAGCGCTACCTGAAGGCAACATAACTATAAGAAGTAATGGCAAAAAATTGGAACAATGCACCATAATCGTGTTTCGAAAACTGCTAAATTGGCGGTGAATAGAAATCAAATGATGACGATCCTGCTGCTCTTCAACTATTCTTTTGCGAAACCTGTAAGAGGTCCTGTTAGACCTATCATTCATCAACAGTTAGATAGGCCATATCACGGGAGCATATAACTTATTTGACAACATTAGTTAACTAATTGCTACGATACGCATTTACAGCAGGACACATAACACACAATGCAAACACCGAGAGCCTGCGTGAGTTCAGTAGTTTCTTACACGACACCTTACCTCATTGAAAACAAGAACGCATACAATCTAGCTACTTCAAGTGATTGTCCAGCCTAGACCGCAAACGTTCGATGAGGTAATAGTTAGTTTACAAATCGCCTGATTGTCTGTCTCACTTAACCGGATTCGAGGATGTTGGCGTCGATTTTTGTCACTGATGTAGATACCCTGATAGTTGCCGTTCCTCATTAGTAGTAGGTTAAACATTAATTTCAAGCAAAAAATTCGACATACGTGTAAAATAGCGACGATAATTATCAAAAAAAAAAAAAAAAAACACTACCACCAGGCGTTTTTCAACCCTAGATAAAACCAATCGAACGAATCATCACATCAAACTTTACCGATTTCGACTCACGGAAGCTGTTTGGTATTATTGTTAGCAGGTACAAGTTGTACCTGTAGCTGTAACAACGTAAAACTGGCAGGTTTTAGAGTCGACGCCGATGAGAACGTAACGGCGGCCGCGGCGATGGCGTTTAGCGACAACTGCTTGAATGGAAACAGCCCGAGGAATCGACGCCGATGGATTTTGCGCTTGGACAACCTTTATATAAACTCGAAATCTCCAACGAGAACGACTTGCTAGACAGCGCTCTTTTGTGCCAACGTTGGAAATGGAAAGCAAGTGGGTTTATTTACAATTCCGGACAGGACTCTGGCGATGATATGCCGATAATGATGCAGTTCGGTCATAGTCCTGTTTCTAATTAAGTCCAGCTGGTTCGTCGATGTTATCTCAGGAAGAGTGTCGATTTCACGTCAGCCCACGTTAACGGACAAAAGAAACGAGACGGATGAACGCCCCGATGGTATGTAAATGTGTTGCTGTGTCATTTAGCTACGAAAAAGTTAACCTGTTCTCACTAATCACAGTAACTATATGTAAACATGTTTATTGCGCGACTGGATGACCACTAGATGGGGTCCTCAGTTCAGGTCATAAACGGTCCGATAATACCAGAAACGTTCCATACGCCATCCCTCGCATTGAAGACAACATCATTCAAGACTTGTGGGGTCTTTACTATCGGAAAGATTAGAACGGCATCAAATATTTCACGCAAAGTTCCGAAGCGGCAGTCTTTTTGTTGCATGAATCCTGGCTTACTGTCTTCTGTCGAGACAGGCATGGGATACCATATGTTATGATTCAATTAGCAATGTTCTGTATCAATTTTTTAATGTATGTATATATATATATATATAGGGGTGGGGATTTTTTTATACGTTGTTCCTAAAACAACGTTCGACAAAGTAGCTCAATACTATAGCACTTTTAGTACTGTAGTACTAAACGTGTGGCGATTATGTCTATTCAACATAACCGTTCATTTTAATTGAATCTGTAAGATGTAAGGGTTTGAAACGGCCATCAAATATACAAGCTGCGGACAATCTAAAAACGACCGTTTGAATTTATCTGGCCGACTCGGTCGGCAGTTGATATTTCGCTTTTAAAACTGTCGTTAATTTCTCTATAAAATATCGGGTCCTTTGGATCTAAACTGTCTCACTCAGACTGTCTCCTGCAGACCTTTTGGCAGCTTTTTGGACCGTAGATTTTGAGTCCCACGTGATATTCGATGAACTTCCAAAAACAACATCCTGTTTTTCGTTATGACGAGTTTCCTGTTCTGAGATCAAAAATAGCGAATAGATGCACTCCCAATATATATATATATATATATATATATATATATATGGACCTTATTTAAAAATTCTCCACGTTCTGCTATTCATTTCGATGCCCAGCTTCTCATAATGTCGTGCGGTGACGTAAGGTCACTAGCAATTAGCAAGCTACACGGTTCCCGTTCCTGTCGCACAACTTCGGCAGAATTACGTAGCGCGTCGGAGACGGCGTACGACAAATCAGGTCAATTAACTGATAGCTATGTAACCGCTACGATATAGATACCTGACTTCGACTCAACAGAACACTAGTCCCAGCCTTAGAGGCCCGCTCCGGCGAGTTCAGATGGATCCAGTCAAAAACACTGGATGGGAAGCTGATCGAAGCAATGAAGTTATTTTGCGATATATACCTTGTAGAGCAGACTTTTCCTGCCAAACGTTGTTTTAGTAATAACCAGTGATAGTTTGTCGATGATGTTAAGACTACGCGGATCGTTTTGCTGCTCTTAGATCTCTCTTTTTAATTAAAACTTGGTATAAAAATAGCAAGTTGTTCGAGAGTAATGTTCATGTAAATACGGGTACACGATTGCATCCGGAGCCGCCGTTCGTACGCGCGTTATGCCTATTGTAGATTTCCGTATATTTAGTTCATTCGATGATACATTACGACAGATTTCCACTAAGTTGGTTGTTCGGTCCAAGTTGCGCATTAGGATATAGGCTGGATAAGAGGAAGGAAAACTGTGCGGTAATAAAAACGTCAGAAAACAACACACTGTTGCTTTCGGAGACATCTACATAGTCCCTGTGTATCTAGCAAATCATCCCGAGCAACAACAATAGTGAATCTTCAACTAGCGATCACCATGTTAACTAAATCACTATTAACTATTTACTGCCGCACTTCTCAATTAGCAGACGCTGTCCTCTTCTCTAGGTTTTTTTTTTGTGCTTACAAGGTTCGATCTCTGTCAATATTTAATTTACTACAATTTATAGTGACTCTTAAGCAATGGCGCTAGTCCTGCCGCTCTTGGTCTTGTTAGGCCTGCATGCTCCGCGACCCTATACGGTATATAGTTACCTGCTTTCCGTAAGGCACACGTCTGCTTTCTCTCGCAAGTCAACTCTCCTTTCGCATTGGTACTAACGAGTGCTGCAAAGGCCTGCCCCTTGCAGGAATGCGCCCCCGACCATCGTTCCCCTTGGGGCAATCTGGTCTGCTGTATTCCCAGTTTGCTATTCGGACGCGTGGGCGGCCTTCAGGTATCGGTTGCTTTTACACGCTGGCCAGTCGCACGCTTCGTTGAAAGACTAGGCCGCTGGTGAGTGGGATTTAGCAAGTCCTGTCCGAATCAGAAGCTGCTTATTGTTTACATTCTGGCCGTATATAGTGCGGGACTGAGCCGTTGGTTGTAGACTGATAACCCTTTGGTTGGAGGGTAAACTCTATGGGCGTCCGAACAACCTACTTATTATGTATGTCCTATGCAGAGTCCATAAAGCATTGGCTTGTCACCCGTCCGGTCTTCCTTTTTGGTCAAGATATACCATGCAGATTAGGGCGTATCCATTTAACTAGCGCTCTTCGGGTTGAATTTCTTTTTTATGTTTAGAGGGGCAGATTACTTCAAGGAAGTTCCTACACGATGTTGCAAAAAAGTCTAGTCTTTTATTACTTGTGAAGTAGTTAGATCTCGACTAGTTTAAATCACGGCTGTCCTTTCTGCTTTTCTATAAAAGCTTAGCCAGCTAGGAGAACATTTTGCTAATAATTAAATTTATTGGCGTTAGGCTTCAGAAGGTTTAGGTACGATGAATTATTAGCTATGCTCACTGCGGTTGTTGTTGTTTAGCGTTAGCAATAGGGTCGAGACGGGCCAGCACTAATGGCTGGTCCAAGCTATTTCTATATTATCATTTTACCTTGAGTTGAATGGCTGAACTAAGTCAGCACGTGTATTCGTCATGATGAGAGAATGGCGTAAAATACGCTGTCGTATAGGGTAGGTTTTGAAAAAATCTCTTTCCCCTTAAGTCCGATAATTCGATTCGCCCCCGCCTCCTCTTCCTCTTCTTCTTCTTCTTGTTTTTCATCAATTTTTGCTGTATGGCTTGATTTGTTTGAGTAAATCATCCCGTTCGTAAGCAGGTAACATACGAATGAAGACATCGTGCCACTATGTTAAGTTTAAGAATTATGATAATTTAGCGAAGCACAATGTACGGTGCGCCAGTCGATATATATATATAAAGGACTTTGCCACGGTATGCACTTTTCTTGGGTATTTAAAATATACACTCTTGGATTGTACTATACATGATAACAGAACCGAACATTAGTAGCTTGGAAAATAAAGCATACTTTGATAAAAGTATGTTAATTAGATCCAAATTCAGATAGTATCTTCGGCTACAATCATCTAATTTTTGCTTAGCTCATACACAACCGCAAACCAAGAAGCGTGGCATAAATCACTTGTCACTCAGATATATAATTATCAATGACGACTTTCATCTCGACGGTTTATTGATTGCTTTGGATAGCGGTTCATCCACTTTTCGCAAAACTTTCCGTATCATAGGTGAGCTTTAGGCCAGTCGTCCTGTCCTGATTAGATCGATTCTTAATGAAGTCGCTATGATACCCGCCTCGTGTCCTACTCGTATGTAGTATATGTATCAATATAAACCTGCTATTTTGGCATGGTATGACAATTTCGATATTTTCCAAGGTTTCGTCCCTGCGAGGTTCTTACTGCGACAACTTCGACCTTTTAAGAGTACACAGCGAAAGTTGCCATGTCAGTAACCTGAGATAGGGCCATTTTGAAATCAGTTACTACCGAAGTGTATTAATGGCGGCGCCCCTTAATCACGATCTGACTTGTCGAATTCAGTGGGTTCCTTAGTGCTTCGGTAACAATCGGGACCCACAGTTTTATCAGGCCTGATTACGGCGTCTATTGAGCTAGTGCTACCTGGGTATACAGCAGGAATGAGTGTACCTCGCCGAAACAACATATAGAAGCTGGTTCATCGACCCTATAAGCATTTCAGTTTCTTTAAATACCTGAATCTGCTTTTTTTGTACGACCTGCAAGAAACTGTTATTACTGAACTAACAATTGACACCTATATAGTTAATAGCTAATATTTCTTAGTACTGTGACATTCAAACGATTCCTTCAGTAAAGTAGGCAAGGGCTACCGTTAGCGCACGTTACAAACGATGACGGTCGGATTTTGTTTCCGCTACGGCAGGTGTCCTTCTTATTTTTTTTCAACTACAGGAAAGAACCTACACATCGTTGTAAATATTCAACAACGAGTACAGACCATATACGACTGAACACAAACTAGGAGCCACGTCTAATATCATATTTTTATCTTTTTCTTTTTGCTGCAGAATAAATTTCCGGGATCACCTTCTCTTCGGTATCATATCGATGAGATGCTCCACTGAAAGGGATTTTTTCTCCTACTAATCTTGCTTAACCAATATATATAACAGAAATATATGTTAAATATGATCGGATATTAATAATCACATTGTAAATGTGCTCAAGAGACGCACTCAATGTATCATTGTTAGGTTTCTTTGTACAAAATAGCGCAACTCATCTAAAGCACTAAACAAGGCCGAGGTTACAGCTGGCTTAAAAACTACACTTACCTACGTATAACTAGAATATTCCCCCAAGTTAGATAAGAGTTACTCGTTTAAAAAAATGCATAGTTGTAAATGATCGTGTACCACCTGGCCTTTCGCGAAACAACCAAACATTTAACCGTTTTCGTCAGACGGAGCGATCCTGGTAAGGTCACTCACGATCCGACCACTGTCACTATCTACCACTTCCGTGCCAATGTCGAGGCTC